GTGTCCATCCCTGTCCTGTGTCCATCCCTGTCCTGTGTCCATCCCTGTCCTGTGTCCATCCCTGTCCTGTGTCCATCCCTGTCCTGTGTCCATCCCGGGCCCCGTGTCCATCCCCACAGCCGGCTCCATCCCTGCTCCCCCATGCCATGCCGGACTGTCCGTGCCACCCCGCTGTCCCCGCTGCCCACCCCGGGCCCACCGTGTCCGGCTGGGTCCTCCCGGGGCTGTGGCTGTGGGATGAGCCTGGGCAGGAGCCAAGAGCTGCACCGGGACAGCGATCACGGAGCCCCCGGGCGGGGCAGGGCCCGGGAGGCTCCGGGGCCCCGGGCAGGGCAGGGCGGTGCCGCCGCCCTCAGGCCGCCATATGCTGCCGGCCCTAATCCCCGCTGGAGCCTCAGGGCGAGGGAGGACATGGCCGCCCACCTGCGCACCAGCCCCGCCTCAGCGCCAGCCGCCCTGTCACGGGAAGGATCAGCCTACCCGCGACTGCGGGCCTATGGAAGGCGTCGCGATAGCGCGCCATGTCGCGACAGGGAGGCTGTCAAACCTTGCCCCCCCCCCTTTGAGCGGGAATGGTTCGCCCCCCTCCACCAGCCCCCCGAAATGCCCAGCAGCGCCCAGCACCCCATTCCTGCCCCCCCTCCACGAGCTCCCCGCATCCCTGGGCTCCATCCCGCAGCCCCCTGCTCCACCTCTGTGCCCCCTTGCCTGGCATCGCCCTCCCCTCGGTGCCCTGTGACACCCCCGGCTCCGTGTGACACCCCCGGCTCCCTGTCACCGCGCTGGCCGCGCCGTGCGGGGGCTCCGCCGCCGGTGCCATTTTGTCACCGGGAGGATGCGGGAGAGGCTGCGGCGCCCCGGCCGCACCCCCAGCGCCACGGCAGATCCCGGGAGCCACGGCAATTCTTGGGGGCTGTGGCAATTCCTGAGAGCCACGGCAATTCCTGGGAGCCGTGGCAATTCCTGGGAGCCACGGCAAATCCTGGCAGCCACGGCAAAGCCTGGAAACCACGGCGAATCTCTGTGGCCACGGCAAATCCTGGCACCCTTGGCAATTCCTGGGAGCTGTGGCAATTCCAGGGAGCCTTAGCAAAGCCTGGGAGCCGTGGCAGTTCCTGGGAGCTGTGGCAAATCCTGGCAGCCACGGCAAAGCCTGGAAGCCATGGTGAATCTCTGTGGCCAGCGCGCCATGTCGCGACAGGGAGGCTGTCAAACCTTGCCCCCCCCCCTTTGAGCGGGAATGGTTCGCCCTACACCCCCGCTGGCGCACGGGTGGTTCATCCCGCGCCCCAAGGAGCGCGGCCGGACCGCACCACTGCGCTTTGCCGGAGGAGGGGGCGGCGCCCACCACCGCGCCGAAAGGGGGGGGTCTCCTCCCCCCAGTCCGCCCGCTGTCCATCAAAGCGCGCCGCCGAGCCAATCAGCGCCTCCCTCAGGGGCGCGCCCGTGACGTCAAGACTCATTTGCATAGAAAGCTCCTCCCCCTCAGCCGACGTCACCCGGGCTCCGCATCTGCTGCAGTCGCTGCGGGGAGGAGGCGGCGGCGGGAGCTGTGGCAATTCCTGGGAGCCGTGGCAATTCCGGGCAGCCGTGGCAATTCCTGGCAGCCATGGCAGATCTCTGTGGCCATGGCAAGTGCCGGGGGCCACGTGCCCCACATTCCCGTGGACACGCCGCTCTGCGGGTGACAGGAGGTGGCCTCTCCGAGCCCTTCGGGGCTCAGTGACCCATCGATGGCCGCGCCATCGCCCATCCTGAGCCAAAACGTTCCCGATCCGTGCTGGGAAACGGCTCCGAGCGGGGCCCGGCACCGTCACGGCCTCTCCCCCACCTTGCAGATGGCGTCCGCTACTGACTCCCGCTATGGGCAGAAGGAATCCTCGGACCAGAACTTCGATTACATGTTCAAGATCCTGATCATCGGCAACAGCAGCGTGGGGAAAACCTCCTTCCTGTTCCGGTACGCCGACGACTCCTTCACGCCCGCCTTCGTCAGCACCGTGGGCATCGACTTCAAGGTCAAGACCATCTACCGGAACGACAAACGCATCAAGCTGCAGATCTGGGTGAGGAGAGACCCTCGGGGTGCCCCCAGAGCCCTGGGCTGGGCTGGGGTGATGGGGAGGGGGCGATTGTTGGTGAGGGTGGTGGTCAGTGAGGGGTGGTGGTCACTGAAGGGTGATGGTCACTGTGGGGTAATGCTTGCTTGGGTGATGGTCACTTGGGGTGGTGGTCGGTGTGGGGTGGGGGTGATGGATTGGTGGGGTGGGGGTGATGGTCAGTGAGGGGTGGTGGTCACTGTGGGGTGATGGTCATTGAGGGGTAGTGGTCAGTGAAGGGTGATGGTCACTGTGGGGTGATGGTCAGTGAAGGGTGATGGTCATTGAGGGGTGGGGGTGATGGTCACTAGGGGTGATGGTCACTAGGGGTGATGGTCACTGTGGGGTGATGGTCACTAGGGGTGATGGTCACTGTGGGATAATGCTTGCTGGGGTGATGGTCAGTGTGGAGCTGCCCCAGGCTGGGGCTGGATCTGCCCCCATGCACCCGCTGGCCCCGGGGGAGGGTGTCACCTCATCCCTGGGGGTGACATTCTGCTGTCCCCTGTCCCCGCCCAGGACACGGCCGGGCAGGAGCGGTACCGCACCATCACCACCGCCTACTACCGCGGGGCCATGGGCTTCATCCTCATGTACGACATCACCAACGAGGAGTCCTTCAACGCCGTGCAGGACTGGTGAGCCCCACGGGGGGCTCTGGGCACCCCAAACAGTCCCAGCCGCCCCCTCCCCACACCTCTGATCCCCCTCTCCCTTCCCCAAGGTCCACCCAGATCAAGACCTACTCCTGGGACAACGCCCAGGTCCTGCTGGTGGGGAACAAGTGTGACATGGAGGATGAACGCGTGGTCTCCTCGGAGAAGGGGCGCCAGCTCGCCGAGCACCTGGGTGAGTTGGGGAGGGGGAACCCCCCACCACGGCTGCCAGCCCACAATTAATTTAATTAAGGGCTTAATTCCCTGCGTGCAATCGCTCCGCTGCGACATCGGCGGTGACTTGGCACCTGGTGAAACACCGGAGTCACTGCACACCTTAAACTCTCTGAGAGATGCTGGGGGGAGGATCTGGGCGGGTTCTTTGGGTGAGAAAAAGGGGATTTTGTTGGTGGTGGGGGGCAGGTTACAAACCCTTTAAATATTGAATGAGGAGGAGGAGGAGCAGCCGCGCGAGGTCGGACGCTCGGACGCAGCTTTGACGCGCGTGCGTGTCCCTTTGTCCCTCTGTCCCCCTCCGCTTTGTCCCTCTGTCCCCCTCCGCATTGTTCCCCCCTGCACCCCACCTCAGGGTTTGAGTTTTTCGAGGCCAGCGCCAAGGACAACATCAACGTGAAGCAGACCTTCGAGCGGCTGGTGGACATCATCTGCGAGAAGATGTCGGAGTCCCTGGACACGGCCGACCCCGCCGTCACCGGCGCCAAGCAGGGCCCCCAGCTCACGGACCAGCAGGCCCCCCCCCACCAGGACTGTGCCTGCTAGGGGCCAGCTCACCCCCCTCCCCAAACCCCTCCCTGTCCTGGTACCCCCTGCCCTTTTTCCTGCTCGGGGACCCCCTGTCCTGGGGATCCCCCTACCCTGGGACCCCTCCCTGTCCTGGTACCCCCTGCCCTTTTTCCTGCTCGGGGACCCCCTGTCCTGGGGATCCCCCTACCCTGGGACCCCTCCCTGTCCTGGTACCCCCTGCCCTTTTTCCTGCTCGGGGACCCCCTGTCCTGGGGATCCCCCTACCCTGGGACCCCTCCCTGTCCTGGTACCCCCTGCCCTTTTTCCTGCTCGGGGACCCCCTGTCCTGGGGATCCCCCTACCCTGGGACCCCTCCCTGTCCTGGTACCCCCTGCCCTTTTTCCTGCTCGGGGACCCCCTGTCCTGGGGATCCCCCTACCCTGGGACCCCTCCCTGTCCTGGTACCCCCTGCCCTTTTTCCTGCTCGGGGACCCCCTGTCCTGGGGATCCCCCTACCCTGGGACCCCTCCCTGTCCTGGTACCCCCTGCCCTTTTTCCTGCTCGGGGACCCCCTGTCCTGGGGATCCCCCTACCCTGGGACCCCTCCCTGTCCTGGTACCCCCTGCCCTTTTTCCTGCTCGGGGACCCCCTGTCCTGGGGATCCCCCTACCCTGGGACCCCTCCCTGTCCTGGTACCCCCTGCCCTTTTTCCTGCTCGGGGACCCCCTGTCCTGGGGATCCCCCTACCCTGGGACCCCTCCCTGTCCTGGTACCCCCTGCCCTTTTTCCTGCTCGGGGACCCCCTGTCCTGGGGATCCCCCTACCCTGGGACCCCTCCCTGTCCTGGTACCCCCTGCCCTTTTTCCTGCTCGGGGACCCCCTGTCCTGGGGATCCCCCTACCCTGGGACCCCTCCCTGTCCTGGTACCCCCTGCCCTTTTTCCTGCTCGGGGACCCCCTGTCCTGGGGATCCCCCTACCCTGGGACCCCTCCCTGTCCTGGTACCCCCTGCCCTTTTTCCTGCTCGGGGACCCCCTGTCCTGGGGATCCCCCTACCCTGGGACCCCTCCCTGTCCTGGTACCCCCTGCCCTTTTTCCTGCTCGGGGACCCCCTGTCCTGGGGATCCCCCTACCCTGGGACCCCTCCCTGATCTGGCACCCCCTGTCCTGGGATCCGTGTGACATTTTCCTGCTCGGGGACCCCCTGTCCTGGGGATCCCCCTACCCTGGGACCCCTCCCTGATCTGGCACCCCCTGTCCTGGGACCCCCTGCCCTTTTTCCTGCTCGGGGACCCCCTGTCCTGGGGATCCCCCTACCCTGGGACCCCTCCCTGTCCTGGTACCCCCTGCCCTTTTTCCTGCTCGGGGACCCCCTGTCCTGGGGATCCCCCTACCCTGGGACCCCCTTCCCAGCGTGTGGGTGCTGTGACAGGACCCCCAAATCCCCCTCCCCTCCCCAGTCCATCCCACCCCGTGTGCCCCCCCCTCTTACCCCGAGAGCTCCTGGTGCAGGGGTCTCTTTGTGCCCGGCTTTCCTGCCCCTCCAGCTGGATGGATATTTCCTGACTCTTGTTTATTTGTATAAATAGATGCTAATTTATGCTCCCGCCGTCTTCCTCCTTGTACATACAGAAATTCCTTGTAAATAGGCGTAGGAAGTGACGCTGTGCGCGTGACCTGCTGTGCTGTGGCCGTGGTGGTGCATTTATATATATATATATATATATATTCTGATTTTTTTTTTGTTTTGTTTCTCTCAGTGTGGTAACCTTGCTTGTGAATATCACTTTTAAATTAAAAAAAACCCACCAAAAAAAAAAAACCCAAAAAAAAACCAAACAACCCACCTCCTCCCACACACAACCAAACGACGACAAAACTGTTATTATTATTGAAATAATGAGATTTAAAATGAGAAATTAATTCAATAATCAGCGAGGCCGAGCCAGCTGGAGCAAACCGGCCCCGGTTTGGGCTCGTGGGGGGTGAGCAGGGCTGGGACCGTGGCTGCTTTGCTCCAGGGATTTGGGCTCTCGTGTTCCTGTGGTTCTGTGCTTCTGTGGAGACTGTGAATAAGTGGATATTCCCGTAGCCATGACAGAGCTGCCCTTTATTTATTTTTCCTGGAGCGCTGTGTCTTTATTTTACAGATTTCCCTCTATTTTCCCCCCACCATGATTCCATCTCCCTCCCTTCCCCCTTTCCCCCCCCTCCTCTTTTTTGTGAAGTTTACTTATGGAAGAGTTACACTGTACTGTACAAATGTCAAAAGTGTCAAAAAGAGTACAATTTCCTAAAAATCACTGTATTAAAAGAAATGTTGTGAAGAAATAAACCAATTGCTGATCAGAAGTTCCTCGGGGTCCCTGAGTTGCCAAGAGAGGAGCAAAATTAATTGGATTTTTTTTAAATTATCATCCCCCAAATGGCTCCTGCTGCTGCTGAGGGAGGAGCTGAATCCCCCCTGGGTGTGTGACAGCAGGGACCAGGGCAGAGCGTTAAGGCACAGCTTTAAAAATCAAGTTAAAATAAACAAACAAAAACCCATTCGGGCAATTTTCATTGACACTGGAAATAATTCAGTTATGCAGGGAGCATCCAGCTTGCCCAGGGCTGGGAGCAGAGGGATGTGATGGCCCAAACTCTGCCAAAATTTGGCTCCAACCCCCCTCTGCCTCCTCCTGAGTGCCGCAATCACATCCCTATTTATAGAGGATCCAGGTGGCTGCAGCCCCCGCCCGAGCCGGGGGGGAAACGGGAGCTGGGGGGAGTGCAGGGATTTTATCCTTGAGCTGGAAGAGAAAAAGCAGGAGGGGAAGGAGTGAGGAGCTGCAGGGAGAGCAGAGGAGCAGCCAGAGTGAATCAGGGAGTGGGTTTGGGTCGGAATGAGCTTAAATCCCATCCCTTCCCACCCGTGCCACCTCCCACCATCCCAGGCTGCTCCAACCTGGCCCTGGGCACTTCCAAAGGATCCAGAGGCAGCCACAGCTGCTCTGGGAATTCCATTCCAGGGCCTCACCACCCTCACAGGGAAGAATTCCTTCCCAAAATCCATTTTGTGGGGATCCAGGTGGCTGGAAGGTGCTGGAGGAGCAGCAAGGGCACTGGTTTGCTCTGCGGGCAAATCCCAGAAGAAATCACTTTACAGCTTCTCCTGCAACAAGAGATTGTTACAACCCCAACCCGTGGCTGTAATTAGCAGATGAATTAATCAGCAGCAGGCAGGTGGTGGGGCTGGCTCTGGCCATCCCCTCATTCAGCTTGGGGGGCTCCACAATGCCCAGAAATCCATCTCCAGGCTGCTCTGGAGGAGCTGCTCCCTCTCTAGGCGCCGGCGCTGCTCTGGCTCTGCCGTGGTGGCTCCTGCCCGGAGCTGCGGGGCTGCAAAACACCCAGGGAGCCCGGGGTGAGCTGGGCACTGCCAGCAGCAACGGCCCTGCCCTGCGCCGGGCACTGCCGAGGGCACTCCCCCGGGGCTGTGCCCAGGGCTGGGAAGGATGCAGAGACAGCTGGGAGCATCCAGAGGGGCACCAGGGCTGGGAACACAAACCCTGGGAGGAAAAATTGAGGGAGGTGGGAGTGCTCAGCGTGGAGAAAAGGGGACTCAGGGTGACCTGGTCACTCTGCACAGCTGTGCCTGTGCCCAGCTGGGGCTGGGCTCTGTCTCCAGGAACTGACAGAGCCAGAGCACACAGCCTGCAGCTGCACCAAGGGAAATACAGGCTGGATATGGGGAAAAAGTGTTTTATGGAAAGAGTGATAAAGTATTGGAATGGTTTTCCTGGGGAGGTGGTGCAGTCACCATCCCTGGGGGTGTTTAACAATGCATGTGGCACTGGGTGCCAGGGCTCAGTGTTGGGGCTGGGTTGGACTCAATGACCTTTAGGGTCTCTTTCAACCTGATCATTCTGTGAATTCTGTGAATTTAGGGATTTTTGGGAATTCCCACTGACTGGGGAGGTGGTGCAGTCACCATCCCTGGGGGTGTTTAACAAAGCCTGGATGTGGCACTGGGTGCCAGGGCTCAGTTGAGCTGTTGGGGCCGGGCTGGACTCAATGACCTTTAGGGTCTCTTCCAACCTGGTCATTCTGTGAATTTGGGGGATTTTTGGGAATTCCCAGGGCAGAGGGAAGTGGTGGAGTCACCATCTCTAGCTGTGTTTAATAAAAGCTTGGATGTGGCACTGAGTGCCAGGGCTCAGTGTTGGGGCTGGGTTGGACGCGACGACCTTTAGGATCTCTTCCAACCTGGTGTGATTTCTGTGAATTTGGGGCAATTTTGGGAACTCCTGGGGCTGGCAGGGGCTCAGGGGCGGGGCTCACCCTGTGTTTGAGGTAGGACAGGTAGGTGTCCCAGCCCAGGGTCACCACGTTGACGTACACCACGCGGTAGGCGGGCGGCACGAAGAGGAAGTTGAGGATCTGCGCCGCCGGCCACAGGCTCCAGTCGGCCTGGGGAGGGACAAGGAGCAGCTGGGGGGCTGCCCAGGCCCCCCCAGGACAGGGGGCACAGCCCCAGGACAGGGTGAGCCCCCAGGGCCTCACCTTGTAGAATTCCCAAAATTTCTCCTTCAGCTCGTCCCAGCTCTCCTGGAGAGATTGGCCCTCCAGCGTGCCGATGGCTGCGGGGACAGGAGGGGTCAGCGGGAACTGGGGTGGGAATTAATTGGGGTGGGAATTAATTGGGGTGGGAATGGCTGGGAAATGTCCCAAACCCCTCCCAGGGTGGGCGGGGAGGGCAGCGCCGGCAGCATCCCGAGGAGGGAGGTCCGGGAAATGGAAAGGAAAGTGAAAGGGGGCTGGGGCTGTGCCAGAGGGTGGGATGGAGCAGGGAAAGGTTCTGGGAATTTGGGATGGAGATCAGGGAAAGGTTCTGGGTTTGGGATGGAGATCAGGAAAGGTTCTGGGGTTTGGGATGGAGATCAAGGAAAGGTTCAGGGGTTTGGGATGGAGATCAGGGAAAGGTTCAGGGATTTGGGATGGAGATCAAGGAAAGGTTCTGGGGTTTGGGATGGAGATCAGGGAAAGGTTCAGGGAATTGGGATGAAGATCGGGAAAGGTTCAGGGATTTGGGATGGAGATCAAGGAAAGGTTCTGGGGTTTGGGATGGAGATCAGGGAAAGGTTCAGGGAATTGGGATGAAGATCGGGAAAGGTTCAGGGATTTGGGATGGAGATCAGGGAAAGGATCAGGGGTTTGGGATGGAGATCAGAAATGTTCTTCCCCCAGAGGGTGCTGGGCACTGCATTCCCCCAGGGAATGGTCCCAGCCCCAGAGCTGCAGGGTTGCCTTTTTGCCACACAAACTGTGAGCAGAACCCACCAACACCCCCTGCGAGGTTCAGAGCCACACCCCACCACAACACAAAATCCAGCAAGCACCAAACCCAAACCCTCCGGCACCACCAGCAGCTCCTGGGCTGGGATTTTGGGGCTGGATCGGTGACCCCCTGAGGCTGCCACGTACCCACGAAGTACCAGGCTCCCATGCTGGGCGAGGCCACCAGCTGGTCGATGAGCACCTTCTTCAGCACCGTCCTGAGGCTGCGCACGCCCCGCGCCGGGAACGCCGAGTCCAGCCAGAGGTACCAGTAGTGCATCAGGGGTCCCAGGCTGCAGCCCACCACAAACATCCGCCCTGCAGCACCACCACGGGCTTTACAGGGCTGGGGAAGGGGCCAGCAGGGCGTGTGGGGAAGGGGGTGCTCCCTCTGAGGGCAGGGATGGATTCCCTCAGCCATGGATGGGTCCATGAGGGCATTTTGGGAAGGAATTCCTCCCTCTGAGGGCAGGGATGGATTTCCACAGCCCTGGAAGGGGCCAGGAGAGCATTTGGGGAAGAACCTGTGAGGGCAGGGATGGATTTCCACAGCCCTGGATCCCTGGAAAGACCCATGAGGGCATTTTGGGAAGCAATTCCTCTCTCTGAGGGCAGGGATGGATTCCCCCAGTCCCAGCGCCCTGGCAGTGCCCATGAGGGCACTTGGGGAAGGATTTCCTCCCTGTGAGGGCAGGGATGGGTTCCCCCAGCCCTGGAAGTGTCCATGAAGGCATTTTGAGAAGGAATTCCTCTCTGTGAGGGCAGGGATGGATTCCCCCAGCCGCAGCCCCCTGGCAGAGCCCCGTGCTGGGAGCAGCAGGAGCTGGGGCCTTGCTGCCCCGGGGCAGGGGCACTCCCAGGAGCAGCAGCAGGAGCTGGGGCCGTGCTGCTGGGGCAGGGGCACTCCCAGGAGCAGCAGCAGGAGCTGGGGCACTCCCAGGCCCGTCCCAGCGCTCACCAGTGCGGCCCAGCTGCAGCTGGCTCTCGGGGTGCTTGCGGCGGTGCCACTCCTGCTGCAGGCAGTCCCCCGCCGCCAGGAGCCCCCCGCAGCTCACGGTGTTGGTGAGGAGCAGCAGCCGGCCCGTGAACAGCGACCGCCAGGAGCGCAGCAGCATCCTGGGCACGGCACGGCACGGCACGGCCTGCACGGCACGGCGGGGACGGCCCGGTCACGGCTGGCTGACCCTAGGCCCACAGTTCAGCCTCGGGACCCTCCCAGTGCCCCCCAGTTCAGCCTCGGGACCCTCCCAGTGCCCCCCAGTTCAGCCTCGGGACCCTCCGAGGTCTCTGAGCCCCCCAGCTCGGGCCCCCCGCTCACCCCCGTTCTCTCTGTACCCTCCACTTACCCCGCTGGGTCCCAGTGCCCCTTCCCGGACACCACCCCCGGTTCCCGGTGCCTCCGGCTCCCCCCGTGTCCCCCCCCCGCCCCTACCGGGCGTTACCGCCACCCGCAGGCGGAACCGGGCGAGTGTCACGTGACAACGACGACTTCCGCTTCCTGCCTCCGCCATGACGGCTACCGCAGCATAGGAGGCCGCCATGACACCTACCGAGGTACAGGAGGCCGCCATGACACCTACCGAGGTACAGGAGGCCGCCATGACACCTACCGAGGTACAGGAGGCCGCCATGACACCTACCGAGGCAGCAGCTCGCCCAGAGGCTTGCGGTGGGGCGAGCTGGGGATGGTCCAAGGGATCCCCGCGGTGCCCCAGCCCTGCCCTGTCCCTGACACCTTGGTCTGGGGGCAGCAGAGTGGTTGGGGAGCTGCGGTTGCCTGTGGAGGTGGCCATGATGGGTGTCAGCAGCGCTGGGATCACTGCTCTCCCCACTCTGCTGGTGCCACTGGGGTCCCCCAGGCGTGGGGACGCTGCTGAGACCCTCCAGGCTGTCCCCAGAGCCTTCAGAATTCTTTGAGAGGCTTCCCTTTGGAGCTTGAACATCAGCTCAGTGTCACTTTGGTCGTGGGGGGCAGCAGAAGGGCTGGGGGGACATTGCTGCTCCTTGTCCTGGGAGTTTGTCACTCCTGAGGACATCCTGGTGGGAACTGAGGCTCTTTGTCAGCCCTGTGGGACAGCTGGGACAGCTCTGGCTGTGAATTGGAGTCAAACATCCCCTCACTAACAGGTGTTTGTCTGCCAGGATTGGCGTCGGGCAGGCAGGAAGGCAAAAAACTCACCAGCTTCTAAAAACAGCTTTATTCCAACTGCCAGGAGCCCCGCTCCTCCTCACAGCCCATCCAAACTCCTCCTGACGCCAAGGGACAGGGCCTGGCCAGCCCTACCTGTAGGAATTGGCCTTGTGTTTTGGCAGGAAGGTGAAGCTGGGCGGGACGGGGCCCAGGAGCAGCTCACTGGGAGAAAGAATCAATCACAGAATTAATCCAGAGTCCTCAAAACCCATCCAGTGCCACCCCTGCCATGGCAGGGACACCTCCCACTGTCCCAGGCTGCTCCCAGCCCTGCCCAGCCTGGCCTTGGGCACTGCCAGGGAAGAAAGACAACAACAAAACCAAACCCAGTGCTCAGTCCCCAGCTGTCAAACGACCCCGTGGCCCTGCAGGGGCTCTGCCACGTCTCTTTTTAGCAACTGGAATGAAATCTGACGCCTCAGTACCTTATTTTGATCCAATCATCCACGTTTTGGCTGGCCATGAGGGTCTCCAGGTAGTCCCTCCCCAGGTAATAGGGCGGCCGCTCGTTGATTTTCTGAGGTAGATGTTCCAATAACCCAACTGGGATGTACCTGGGATAAAATTAAATGTGACAGCACTGAGCGCCAGGGATTAATTAATTAATTGTTGTTTAAAGATCCTCCTGGCTGGGCAGCATCACCTGCACAGGAAGGAGAGCCACTCCAGCAGGAATTTCCTGGTTTTCTCCACTCCCTGAGTGTCTGACCCCCAGTGCTCGAGGCCGTAGTTGGTGAAGTCCTTGAGGATGTCAAACCTTTCACTGGAGGAGATATCCCAGTGTCTCTGCTCCTTGATTTCCGTGAAAAGCCAGGGTTTGATGAGCGCCCCTCTGCAGCCAAAAAAAAATTAAAAAATTGTTATTCCCATCACAGATGCTCCTGAAGATCTGAGATACTTTCCAGCACTGATTTCCCAGCCAATTCTGCTTAAAATCTTCTTTTCCATTCCAACAAGAAGCTCCAACTGATACAAATTGATTTCACCGGTTTTCAGAGTGGTTTCACTGAGAGGAAATTCCATGCTTTGGGTTTGTTTAGGGATTTTTTTTTTTAATCCTCTTTCTTTTTTTTTTTCCCCTCTTGAACCACCAGAGCTCGGGAGTGAAGGGAAACACAGGCACTTGCCTTGCAATCATGATTCCAGAAACTCCCATCTGCATGGCTCGATTTGCATCTTCATAGGACAAAATATCCCCATTTCCTGCCCAGAGAGGAGGGAGAAGCCAGAGGTCAAAGAGATCCGTGAGGACAAGTCAAAGTGAGCTAATGCAGGCATGGGATAAAATTCCAAATGGACACAAAGTCCAAGAGCCAGATGGTCCAAAGAGGCTCCTGCTTTGGATTCCCAGGGATGTTTCTGATGGATGTTCCCTTACAAGGGAAAAAGGAGCCTTCTCCTCTCTTCTCCTTCAGTTTCCCTGAAGGTTTAGGGATTTTGTGACACGAAATAATAGAAAACCCCCTTAAAACCCAAGTGATTGGTGTCCCTTTCCTCCGGCACCACATCAGCAGCACCAGGTGTGGCATTCACATTCTCTGTAAAATCTCTTCACCCAGGATTCTTCTCCTGGGAAGCTGAGAAGCCTCAGAGAAAAAGGAAAACAATTTTATCTAATTTGCTTCTGCTGTGTTTTGCTGCTTTGGAATGTGGTTGGAGATTGTTTCATTGGGTTCATGTGAATTATTTTGACTCTTTGGCCCATCGGTGCCAAGCTGCGTCAGGACTCTAGAGAGAGTCACAAGTTTTTATTATAATCTTTTTAGCCTTCTGTAAGTATCCTTTCTGTATTCTTTAATATAATACAGTATCATAAAATAATAAATTAGCCTTCAAGAACATGGAACAGATTCATCATTCCCTCCTGCCATGAGGAACCCCAAAAATCCCATACCCAGGGACGCTCCAACCTTTTCTCCACGCTTGGGAACATGCTCTTTCCCCCCAATTTGAAGGGATTTGAGATGAACGAGGTGCCCAGGGAAGCCCCACGTACCAAAGAGAGGCATGGGGCTGGCGAGGCGGGCGCACTCGGCGATGTAAGGCCAGTCGGCGCTGCGCGTGTACCGCTGCTCCCGGGAGCGCCCGTGCAGCTGCGGAGAGAGCAGGGACACCTCGCTGCACACAGGGAGGGGACAGCGGGATGGGGAGGGGAGACTTGGGATGGGCCTCGGGATGGGCCTTGGGATGGGCCTTGGGATGGGCCCAGGGATGGGCCCAGGGATGGGCCCAGGGATGGGCCTCGGGATGGGCCTCGGGATGGGCCTCGGGATGGGCCTCGGGATGGGCCTCGGGATGGGCCTCGGGATGGGCCTCGGGATGGGCCTGGGATGGGCCTTGGGATGGGCCTCGGGATGGGCCTCGGGATGGGCCCAGGGATCGGCCTAGGGATGGGCCTTGGGATGGGCCTCGGGATGGGCCTCGGGATGGGTCTCGGGATGGGCCTTGGGATGGGTCTCGGGATGGGCCTCGGGATCGGCCTCGGGACTGACCTCGGGATGGGCCTCGGGATGGGCCCCGGGATTGACCTCAGGATGGGTCTTGGGATCAGCCTCGGGATGGGCCTGGGATGGGCCTGGGATGAGCCTCAGGATCAGCCTCGGGATTGACCTCGGGATGGGCCTTGGGATCAGCCTCGGGATGGGCCTGGGATGGGCCTCGGGATGGGCCTCGGGATCGGCCTAGGGATTGACCTCGGGATGGGCCTTGGGATCAGCCTCGGGATGGGCCTTGGGGTGGGTCTTGGGATCGGCCCTGGGGTGGGCCTAGGAATGGGCCTCGGGATGGGCCTTGGGGTGGGCCTAGGGATTGACCTCAGGATGGGCCTAGGGATGGGCCTTGGGGTGGGCCTAGGAATAGGCCTCGGGATGGGCCTTGGGGTGGGTCTCGGGATCAGCCTCAGGATGGGCCTCGGGATGGGCCTCGGGATCGGCCCTGGGATTGACCTCAGGATGGGCCTAGGGATGGGCCTTGGGATTGACCTCGGGATGGGCCTCGGGATCAGCCTCAGGATGGGCCTCCGGATTGATGGGTGGCTCGGGATGGGCCTCGGGATCAGCCTCAGGATGGGCCGGGCCTAGGGATGGGCCTAGGAATTGATGGGTGCTCAGAGCAGAGCTGGGGAAGGGATCCCTTGGGATCCACCTCTGGATTTACAGAATTCACAGAATCACCAGGCAGGGGAGAAGAGTTGGAAGAGACCTTCAAAGTCATCGAGTCCAACCCAGCCCCATCACCTCAACTAAACCACAGCGCTCAGTGCCACATCCAGGCTTTGTTAAACACCCCCAGGGATGGTGACTCCACCACCTCCCCAGGGCAGGGGAGAACTTTTTCTCTCTTTCAGTGAGGAAAAGTTCCAGAACTTTTCCACTCTTTCAGTGGAAAACTTTTTCCCAGTATCCAGCCTATATTCCCCTTGGTGCAGCTCGAGGCTGTGTGCTCTGGCTCTGTCAGTTCCTGGAGAAAGAGGGATGGGATCAGCTTCAAGGTCCCTGCCCAAACCATTCTGGGATTCCACGATCATGGACCCAAGGCTCAGGAGCAGGGAGGAAAACACCCTCTGCAGCTGAATTTTCCTCTTTTATTAGCAGAGCACACTAAAAGGCAGGGGAAGCTCATCCCCATCTATCTCCAGCCACCAATCCCACCCATCTGCCCCCGTACCGTGACCATGGCTGCGCCCCACTCCCGGATCCTGGGGATGATTTTGTGAGCCACGTTAACCTTTTCCTGCACCCCGGTGCGGATCTTCACCGTCAGTGGGACGTCCAGCACCTGCAGAGGTGGGAAGATGAGGCCAGGCTGGACTGGGCTCCACCAGCTCAGCTCCAGAAGCTCCGACTCACCGAGTTCATGCCGCGGACGATCTGCTCGAACTTGTTGGAGCGAGTCATCAGAGCACAGCCTCCTCCCTGAGGGACAAAACGTGGACCTCAGGACCTTCCTCACACAGTGGAGAGTCCTTGGAGCATCTCAGAGTTTGGAGAAAGTAGATCCTTCAACCAAAAATACTCCAGAGTGCTTTTCCCTCCCAAATCCTGCCAGGCAGAGACAGCTGTTCCCTGCTCCTTGAGCAGCTCATTCCCCTTCTCAGTGAGAACAGAATGAACTGGGAGCTCTGGATCAGGCTGGAAAGAGCAATCAGGCAGCAGGGGATGAGGGTGAAGACAAGGATTCATGGAAGGAAAAGGCACCACAGAACTTCTCACCTTCTTGTAGACCAGGTCGATGGGACACCCGACGTTGATGTCAACAAAATCCACCTCGATCGTCCTGTTGAGGAGCTCTGCACACTTGGTCATGGTGTCTGGAAAGGCTCCCTCCAGCTGCCAAAGGGAAAGAGCTTCCCTGAGTTCCAGGGGCAGCTTTTCCCCTGGGAAGTGAGCTCTTGGTGGGTTGTGGGGTGGTAACCCTCACCTGCACCCCGAAGATGTCCTCGGTGTGGTGGCGTTTGAGCAGAGCCCACTCGGAGGACTGGCCCTGGAGCAGGTTGGTGCACACAGCCATCTCCCCACAGGTGACATCTGCTCCAAAACGTTTGCAGATCCGTCGGAAAGGGAGGTTTCCACACTGCCAGGGACAGGGATTGTCAGCAGATCTGCTCTGTTCCAACCGTGCCCACAGCGAGCTTGGCACGAGGATGGAGTTACCAACCTACCGTGGTCAGTGGGGCCAGGTAGAGCTTGCCTTGGATTTCCAGCTGGAAAACAGGGATAGAGGAGCAGCTCAGCAGAATGGAATGGACTCCAAGGAATCACAGAATGGTGTGGCTTGGAAAGCACCTTAAGGATCATCCAGTTCCGTGCCCTGGCTATGGGCAGTGACACCTTCCACTGTCCCAGGGTGCTCCAAGCCCTGTCCAGCCTGGCCTTGGACACTTCCAGGGATGAGGCAGCCACAGCTTTTCTGGGAATTCCATCCCAGCCCCTCCCCACCCTCACAGGGAGGAATTCCTTCCATCCTCTGCCAGCCTCCCCCAGCTAAAGGCTCTCCAAGGGGTTTCTCTGCCATCTTTCCATGCACAATCTCCACCACAGGATCAGGACACAGGGGACTCTCACCTTCTTCTTCTCACAAGGCCGCAGCTTCGTGATGTCTTCATCTGTCAGAGGGCCCACGGTTGGGATGGAGGGAGCACCCTCAGCCCCTTGGGAGTTCTGCAGGGCCTCAGGTTTGGGAGCACACTCAGCTCCTTGTGAACTCTGCAAGGTCTCAGGTCTGGGAGCATCCTCAGTCCCTGGGGAGCCCTGCAGGATCTCAGATTTGGCAGCACCCTCAGCCCCTTGGGAGCTCTGCAGAGCCTCAGGTTCGGGAGCACCCTCAGCCCCTTGTGAGCTCTGCAAGGCCTCAAGTTTGGGAGCACACTCAGTCTCTGGGGAGCCCTGCAGGATCTCAGATTTGGCAGCACCCTCAGCCCCTTGTGAGCTCTGCAAGGCCTCAAGTTTGGGAGCACACTCAGTCTCTGGGGAGCCCTGCAGGATCTCAGATTTGGCAGCACCCTCAGCCCCTTGTGAGCTCTGCAGGGCCTCAGGTTTGGCAGCACCCTCAGCCCTTTGGGAGCCCTGCAGGGCCTCAGGTCTGGGCTCTTCTCCCTGCTCCTGCAGCACAGGGCTGTCTCTCAGGCCCTCCTGGCGAGCAGTGCAGTTGGACACCTCCGTGGAGCCCCCCGCGGCTTTGCCTCCTTTCCCAGCACGGAGCCCACGGAGAAACTCCTCGGCCTTCTGGAAGCTGAACCTCCTCTTGCGCAGCTGCTGCTGGAGCTCCTTGGAGAGGCCGTTCCTCACCAGCACCTTCCCCTCCCACTGCCGCGCCAGGGCGGCGTTGACCAGGTTCTGGTGGCCGTCCCCGAGGTGGGCCTGGCCGAAGCGGCAGGTGACACCGTAGGGACAGAGGCCGAAGGTGTCGAAGAGGACGCAGCGCTGGCCCAGGTCTGCTGGCTTGGCCGCCAGGTACTCGGACACGTCGTGGAGGAAGCGGCAGCGCGGCCCGAAGTGGCACTGCCCGGCACGGCCCTGGGGACAGCGCGGGGCAGGGTGAGGTGGGCAGGGAGCAGAACAGCCCAGGGCTGGCTCTGAGCCTCAGCTGAGATCCCCAGGGAGGGAGGGAATGCCGCCAGGGGGGCTGCAGGAGGGAGGGATGGACACAGCAGAGGGGATGGACACACGGCAGAGAAGGTGACACTTCACTTGTGACACTCAGCTCATCCCTCGTCACCCTCTCCCAGCTGGTTTTTATGGAATTCCAGCCTGGTTTGGGTTGGAAAGGATTATAAATCCCATCCAGTCCCACCTGCAGGGACACCTCCCACTGTCCCAGGCTGCTCCCAGCCCTGTCCAGCCCGGCCTTGGGCACTGCCAGGGATCCAGGGGCAGCCACAGCTGCTCTGGGCATCCTGTGCCAGGGCCTGCCCACCCTCCCAGGCAGGAATTCCTTCCCAAAATCCCAGCTAAGGCAGCCAGAGCAGGGCTGGGTGTCCCACCTGTGTCACCGAGGGGCACAGCCTGCTCTGCTCGTAGCAGCTGGGTTTCATGCACGGGCGGCTCTTGTTCTGCCCCCGAGCTCTCTTCTTCTCCGGGCGCTCCTTCTCCTCCCCTCCAGCATTCCCTTGGCTTTCCCCATCCTGGCCGAGCTCGTCTGCCTTCACCCTCTTGGCTGGGGGTTCGCTGACCTGCTCCTCTTCCTCCTTCTCCTCCTTTTCCTCTTCCTCCTCCTCGCCCCCTGCCCGCAGGTACGCGTGGAACTGCTCCTTGGAGGTGAGGAACCTGCGGGGAAAGGGGGTGTCCGTGGAAAAAGGGGGGTCAGGAGGGGGTGTTTTGTGGGGTACCGGGGGCAGGAGGGGCTGGGTATGGACTGGGGGATTCTGGAGGAGTTGGGAATGTTCCGGGAGGGGAATGTGGAGAGATCGGGAATGTACCGAGGGGGTTATGGAGGGACCGGGCAGGTACCAGTGGGGCTACAGAGGGGTCGGTAATGTACCGGGGGTTCATGAAGGGACCGGGCACATACCAGAGAAGGTTATGAAGGGATCGTACCCGTTCTGGGGGGGTTGCAGAGGGCTGGGGCACGTCGCGGGGGGCTCAGGAGGGGCCGAGGCCCCGGTCCCGCACTCACCGGGCTCGAACCGGCGCCACGCCGGGCGCCGCTGCCATGCTGCCGCGCGCGGCGATGACGTCAGCGGCGGTGAGCGGCCACGTGACCGGGCGCGTGCGGTATAAAAGGGCCCGGCGGACACGAGCTCCTCTCACAGCGGCCGGAGCTGCGGCCGAGCGTGGTCTCTTTTGTGAGGTGTTTATGCGCTCTCTGAGCCCGGTTTGGGGACTGACACAACCCCTGATGAGTGTCAGCATTGCCCAAGCAGGGAAAGAAGGCCGTTGTGCATCACTTGTACCGGGGAGAGGTGTTGTCCCTTGTGGCAGCTCCTTAAGGCTGCTCTGTGGGGACAGCTGGGTGTGAGGGGGTCACAGGTGCTGCCCCTGGCCCCTGAGGGTGGGCATGACTGGGAGGCCCCCTGAGACCACTGAGTTCAGCTTAAAACCGAACAGCGTCATGTCAGCCAGACACACAAATTGTCGCTTTGTCTTTCCTTTAACAGTTCCCTGGTTTTGGGGGTGCCTGGCTCTCCCTCCTCCTCACAGCTATCAGGGGAGAGGATGGAGCTCTACAGGGATGTGGGCTACTTGCTATGGCTTTTTGTCATTTTAGGGTTATTTTTAAGTGGTAAATGCACAGTAAATGCTGAAGGGATGAACCAGCTCTTGCTCATGAGCTGCCTGGAGCGCTCAAGCTGCCATTGCCTTTGCTCCGTGGGTGGAAGTTTGGGCTGAAAACCAAACAAACGCGTCAAGCGTGCTGTGTTTGACCTTTCCTGCCACGTCTTCCTTGAGTTTGTGCCACTCTTCACACCTCTCCTGGTCCACAACCCCTCCGTGACCCTCCGAGCCTGGCTGTGGGGAAGACGCTGAAGCGAGGGGGGCTGATGTCTCCTGATGTCTCATGGATTTGGACAGATTTGGAGCCCTCCTGGATGACGTTTCCTTTCCAGCTCCGTCATCTCCACAGCCCCGTTTGGCTCACGCTTGGCCTGGGCTGCCGAGAGGGCGAGAGAAGGCTGCCAAATCCAAGTGCAGCAAGACCTGGGCTCCATCTTTCCTGTCCCACGCCTTGCGCTGAATCCAAGGAGATTTTTTGTTTTTAGCTGGGTTCAAACTGTCCGTGAGGCTGGACACGGGGTCAGCCCTGCTCTGTGGAGGCATCAACGAGGAGGCAGCTTAATTTGTGGGTTTTGTCCTAATTTAGGAGCTGCTGGAACCTCTGGGAGAGCAACTGCTCGTGGTGTTGGGGGATTACCACGACACCGAGATTGTTCATGGGCACTGCAGGGTTGTGAGTGCACGTGGGGGTGGAGGTAAAACTGCACGTGGGGCTTGAATTCTGGTGTTTTCCTGTTTTAGCTCGGTTCTTTCCAGATTCTCCATCAGAAATGGCTTTTGGGAGGAGCTGGGAGCCCGCTGGGTGCTCCTGCTGCTGCCAAGGGTGGGCAGGTTGCACCATGGGGCCAGGCTGCTGTGGGAAGAGCTCTGGGCTGATTGGGTGTTAATTAGTTCTGGAGTGAAACATGGGGAATGCAAAATGCTATTTTAAGCTTGGGCTTGGCCGGGGGAAGGAAGGAAGGAAGGAAACGAGGCTTTGGGGATTAATGAAGTGATTTCACTGCTGGTTTTGTGGGGCAATAAGCCCAAAGTCAGAGCTCTTTGGGCTGGCTGCACCCGGCTGAGGTCAGACTTCAGCATCTAATCCCTGCTCAGGGCTCTGGCTCGGCAGCTTTACGAGGCTGAGCCTTGGATGAGCTTCCCAACAAAGCCTTTCCCAGGCTGGACAGGGCTTGGAGCAACCTGGTCTAGTGGAAGATGTCCTTGGCCATTCAGGGGTGGGGATGGGTGAGCTTTGAAGTCTCTTCCAACCCAAATCATTCCATGACTCTCTGCTAGATTTGGAGAGGTGCTGGCTCTTATCTCCTTCATCTTTTCATCCCTTCAGGTCATGCTGAGGTTGGAAGAGGAGCCAGGGGAACGAGGAGCTGGATAAATGTAGGGTGAATACAGAGCTTGGAAGGCCAGAGCTGTCACTCCCACATCCTCCAGCAGCTCCAGAGAAAACCAATACCCACGAACTCACTGGGAAAGGCCAAGGCAGGAAAAAGGGAAAGGTTGATTACAGGAAAGTGGGATATAGATACAGGGAGAGCTAAGTCAGGAAAAGTTCAGCTCCTTCAAGGTCCAAGTTAAACACGTATTAATGAACCTGCCCCTTCCACAGGCTCCCACACAAAAGTCGGATGTGTCAAGCCCTGGGGTCCGGCTACCACGCCAGGAATTAGCCAAAAAATGAGGTTCTGTAGCAGCTGCCATGGGGAGGGAGCTTTGGGCTGGTGACACTGGTGTGGAGCTGTGCTGAGTGTTGTGACAAGCTCTGCTGGTCCCTCCTGCCGGCAGGGAGGATGTCCCAGCTGTGGGGTTGGCTGTGTGGGAAGGTTTGGGGGGAACCTCCTGTGTTCTGCTCAGCCCAAATCCATTCCTCATGTGTTGTCTCCCCTTTTATCCGGTCTGGTTTCAGCAGCACAGCTTCCAGCCTTCTGCAAAGGAGGCTATTCCCCTTGCTCATAAATCTCCTATCAGGAAGCTGTTTCCAAGATTAAAGCTTTAAACGTTTCCCCTCTCTGGTTTCACGTCCCAGCTCCCAATTCCCTCCCTGCTGTAATCACCAGCTCCATCCCCTCCATCTGGACACGCCGGGCTCTCTGTGCCTCACACCAAGCTCTGTCTGCTCCAGGAAAACCTGTGCTGGGACACTCTGGAACTGGGCCGTGCTCCTCCAGAGCTTGGAAACGGCCACTGCAGGCTTTGTGTCATGGAGTTTGGAAAGCTCTTCCTGCTGCAGGTCCCTCCTGGCTGGGTGAAGAGCTGACTGAGCGTTTGGAGGAGCTAAAGGTCATGATCTGGGCAAGGCCCCTGGATTTGGGATGAGCTCTGAGCGGGCTGGAGCTCGGGGGCCTGGTGTGGGTATCGGATCACCGGGAGCATGCCCGGAGCTGGGATAATTGTCTGTGGGGATGAGGCTTTGGAAAGCTGTGGTGTGTGGGCAGGGAAAGGCAGGGAGCAGCAGGGAAAGGGATGGAGCAGGGAAAGGCAGGGAGCAGCAGGGAAAGGGATGGAGCTGGGAAAGGCAGGGAACAGGGAAAGGGATGGAGCTGGGAAAGGCAGGGAGAGGGAAAGGGAGGGAGCTGGGAAAGGCAGGGAGAGGGAAAGGGAGGGAGCTGGGAAAGGCACAGGACATCTGGGCTCACGTGGGAGTGCTGTGGGATCCCAGGGCTCTTGGCTGTGGCACTCAGCCCTTTGTTGGGAAAGCTTGGAGGAGACCCCAAGCCTTTTCATCACACCCTAAAATTAGAGGCAGCCCAAGGCCCCAGTGCTGGGAGAGGCGGATTCCTTGGCAGAGGCTGCAGTGCTGATGGAAGAGGCAGGATGTGGCTGTTCCCAGTGCCCTGGGCTTGGAGCAGGGGGAAGGTCCCAATCCTCTGTTCTGGTGGCTCTGGGGGGCATCTCTCACCAGCCTTTGTCCCTCCCAGCCTTCATCACCCTCAACCCTGCTGTTCCCAGGGCTGTTTTGGGGCGATTCCATGGGAGGCTCCCAAAAGGAACCTTCTCTTCTGGCCTCTGCTGTCACCTGAGGTCACCCTGTCCCCTTTCCGTGCAGGTTGCCTAATCCCTCATGGCTCAGCCTGTTGGGAATTAGGGGAGTTGAGGATCTGGACAGGAAAGGTGCTTGCCTTCAAGCCTTTATCTGGCCTCTTCTAATGCCCCGTGTGCCACCAGATAAAATCTTGTGTGCATTTTTAATTTTTATTTTTACGCGAGAAAGCAACACTGAAGTTTCCTCCTGACATTTAACTCAGTCAGTCAGTGACAAACCGAATAAACATTCCTGTTTCGCTGGGACAAAGGCTCCAAGATCCTGCTGGGACTAAAATGTTTCATCATTTCCGAAGTAAAACGTTTCAGTTAAAAAAAAAAAAATAAAATAAGAACAACAACTAAAAATGACACGTTTCAATGTTTTTCTAATTATTTTCTCCACTTTGGCTGGAGCTATTTTTCAAATCTGGCCTGGCTTCTCAAGTAGCTTTGGAACCTTCCAAAACTGCTATTTTGGGCACTTTTCCTGGTTTTGATGAATAAGTTTGGTCCCTGCCCTGCGTTCCTGTTCATTCCAGGTGTTTTCTGGGGTGTCCTACAGGTGGATGGAGCTTTGGTGCCCCCCCTTTGGTGCCAGGGGCAGGGACATCTCCCGCCATCCCAGGTGGCTCCAGCCTGGCCTTGGGCATTCCAGGGATCCAGGAGCAGCCTCAGCTGCTCTGGGAATTCCATCCCAGCCCCTCCCCACCCTCACAGGGAGGAATTCCTTCCCAAAATCCCATCCAACCCTCCCCTCTGGCAGTGGAAGCCATTCCCTGTGTCCTGGCACTTCATCCCTTGTCCAAAATCTCTCTCCACGTTTCTTGTGGCTCCTTCAGGCACTGGAAAGTCACAGTTAGGTGACCCTGGAGCTTTTCCAGGCTGGACAATCCCAATTTTCCCAGCCTTTGCTGGGCCCCAGGGCTGGGGCATCTCTGCAGGTGGGGTCTCACCTGAGCAGAATCACAAGAAATGAACTTCCCCACATTTTAATTTAGCTCTGGAAAAAAACTCCCAAAAAACAACAACAACAAAAAAAACAAAACAAAACAAAAAAAAAAAAAAAAAAACCAAAAAAAAAAAACAAACAAACAAACCAAAAAGACCAAACCTTGGTGGTGTTTTTATTCAGAACTCTCCCTCACCCAGGATTTTTGCAGACTAAGGGGAGATGGCTTTTTTCTTCCTGCTCCTGACTGAGAGGTGGAGAACACTGATTCAATGTCATCTAAACTTGGAGCAGCCCGTGCTGCAGCAGCTGAGGAGGCTTTGCAAAATGAGAACCTCATCCCCTGGATGAGGCTGGGCCAGTTTTCCATCATTTCTTTCTTCTGGAAGATTCAGCCTTGCCTTAAAAATGCATCTCGAGGATTTGCCCTTCCCTGCCTCGAGCGAGAGCCACTCCTGGGGCTGTGACCTTGCT